AAATGACAAACTAAATATATGACAAACGACAGAACTGGTCACCTGGTCACTATGAACCGCTAATTAAGACTATAAACGTTTCAATCCATTTGAAATTGTCCGAATATAAGAAAAACAATAAAGCAGTCTTGTCAAACCAATAAGGTGGTTGTCATAATTCGTTGTTTTATAATCGGACTAAGAGTTCGTGCATTGAACGGCTAACTTAAGACACTTAATCAAGCAAAGAAATTTTCTCCCAAATTCAACAATCGGCATACTCAGCTTCTTAGATTAGGTTTAGCTCCTAGAAAGAACAGAAAAATAAACAGGATACTATAGTAGTTCATAGACCACTGACCGGTATGTCGTAAAATCATGCAGTTCTAAATGTGACAGTCATCCTGTTTAGCTCATCAGAACCAATTAAAAATAACCTGTTATTTAATTCTTTCCATACATATTAAGCCGAGTGTAGTTCCTTTGCAACAAATGCAAAGACATGGCAAACTCAACTGAGTACGAAAACAGCACAAGTGCGACTGAAGTAACATCATGGAATGCTCGTTCAACGAGTATGGTAATTCTTGCAGGCATCAATATTTTTCTCGCCATCATTGCATCTTTTGGCAACGCTCTAATCCTGATTGCTCTTCATAAAGTGACGTCCGTTTATCCACCAACAAAACTGTTATTTCGATGCCTCGCAGTCACCGATCTCTTAGTTGGACTTATCTCTCAGCCACTGTATGTTACTATTCTCTTTCCCCGGTTCACAACTTGGAATGTGAATGTCGCAATTTCGCGCACAGACGAGTTTTTCTTTTCTCTGCTCCCTGTAGTATCACTCCTTACATCAGCCGCCATCAGTGTGGACAGACTTCTCGCCCTGTTGTTAGGCCTGAGATATAGATACACTGTAACATTAAAGCGAGTTTGGCTGGTCATACTTTGTTTTTGGCTGATTAGTGCTCTTCAAGCTACAGGTAGCACATGTTCATTTGAATGTCCAAAACTAGATGAAATAACCAATATGTTATTCTGTGCTCTATTAACACTTTCCTCGCTAGTCTCAGTATTCTCTTACGCGAAGATATTCAAAACCCTTCGTTATCGACAAGTTCAGGTTCATCGCAATACTCAACAAGGACAGCGGCCAAATGGAGGAGGGAATCAACTGAACATAGCTCGATACAAGAAGACAGTGTACAGCATAGCATGGGTGCAGTTAGCTTTATTTATTTGTTATATTCCATATATCGTAATACAGTTTTTAAGTCTTGGTAAACTACCCTTTTCGACCGAAATATCTATTCTCTCGGAATTATTTGTGACTCTCCTTTATTTAAATTCTTCTTTAAACCCAGCGCTTTATTGTTGGAGGATCAAAGATGTGAGACAAGAAGTGAAGAACATGATCCGCAAGATTTTCCGCTGCAATGGAAATGAATAACTTTTAAAAAAGGAACTGTTAAAGTAAGCTCGTTTTTCTGCAGATATCAGAGCCTGTATATCTTTTGAGACCCATACAAAGTTAGAAAATATCTCCAGTAATCAAAACAGAAATTAAAAGGGGTGATTTGTGAACTCATGTGTCTAGAAAATTGATGATTTTCACCTGGTAAAAATGAAAACAAATAAAATTGACTAATGCTGGCAAGTCTTTTCTCTGCTCCCTGCAGTATCACTCCTTACATGAGCCGCCATCAGTGTGGACAGACTTCTTGCCCTGTTGTTAGGGCTGAGATATAGACACACTGTAACATTAAGACGAGTTTGGGTAGTAATAGCTTGTTTTTGGTTGATACTGGTTGCCCTTCAAGCATATATATATATTCCCGGACAATCATTTGTAACTCTCTTTTACTTAAATTCTTCTTTAAACCCAGCTCTTTATTGTTGGAGGATCAGAGATGTGAGACAAGAAGTGAAGAACATCATCCGCAAGATTTTCCGCTGCTTTTAAAATTAAAAATTATAAAAAAGGAACTGCTAAAGTGAGCTCATTTTGCTGCGGATATCAAAGCCTGTATATATCTTTTAAGGCCCATACAAAGTGAGAAAATATCTCAAGTTATACTCTACATGAAAAAATTTGTACAATTAGAGCAGTGGTTTTTCAGCTTAATTTGAAATACCTACATGTAAATATTACAAACCTTTTGCGAGTAGTAGTATAAACTAATAATAGCATGGTTTGTACGTTATATTTGGCATAAATACCACTTCCGCTGTTCAAACTGTACAGATCTAGGGACGAGATTTAGGGCATCCATCTGGCCCCAGTTGTTCAAAAGGTGGATAAGCAGTCGGTTTCCCTGATACTTATCCACTGGATAGTGATTTATTCGGTGGATAGCGCTATCCAACGTTTGAACAACGCGGGCCTGGTGAGGGTGGTGGAAACGAATTTTTAACCTGAAAATTGGATATAAGATTTTTGTATGCAGTGAACATAGCGCGATACAGAAAGACTGAACAGTCAGTTTAGCATAGCTGTAGTTGGCCTTACTTGTTTGCTTTGCTCCTTATAGCATAGCATGCGCATTGTTTACCCGAAATAGAGGGGTCGATGCTTACTTCATGGCAACTATAATTATCAAGACAGTCCTCTAATGGAAAGCGAGCTTTCTACGACGCTAAGTGAAAGAAATATATACAAAATAATAGGCCTGGCAGCCGGATTATGTAAGTGTATTTGGCGTTCGAAATTTAACAAATGGCCGTTTAACCATTCTTTTGACTCGTTACATTTTATAATTTCCGTTTTCATTAGTCCAGTTGCGAAGAAAACTTAATGGTTGTCCTGTGGCAATTTTTGAGCATGCGCATTTTCGCTCAAGAGCATGAGGTTTCTTTATTTTGCGTCAGTTCAGCATAATTTTGTACAAAAGCGAAATTAAATTGTTGATGTTCTTAATATATAGATTTAGCCAGGGCTAAAAGCGAAGCTCTCGATAATTTTGATAGTTTGCTCAAACAAAATATAAAATCGTATAATGCTAAGGGGCGAGGCAACGAGAACGGTAAAAAAAAACAGCAATAGGTCTAATTAGCAAACAAGCAACTTTACACGCGCAGCACACCTTTTTTGTACATTTCTTTGCCGTTGTTTTGCACGACTGCAACGTGAAACGTCCAGAAACTTCCTGGTTACATGTTTTAAGTGTCGTGCGTGTTCTTGCTCACATTTTTTTTTTTTTCACTGTCACTCATTTTCACCCTGGTGGCCGCTAGAATCCCGCCGTTACAAAATTTCACGTTGTTCCTCCAACAAAAAATGTCTCCCTTTGTTTCTTGTCTCTCGCTCTAGCTCCTTTTCTCGTTGAGCCTCGCTGGCCTGTCCCCTACTTTCTCTTTTTCTCTGTCTTTTTTTTTCTCGATTTTCCAAATTTGTGGACGTGACAGTTAATCTAAGCTTAATACTTACAGCGGTTACCACTGACACGCGCCTTTGAAGGGTTTTTCTGTCTGTTTAAACCTGAGTTTTGGTGGACGTCAATCAACTGTTTCCATGGTTTTCCAAGCGCTCTGACAGAGAAGGCTCCCTCATCGCTGAATGAGGGGCGAATAATTTCGAACGACGACGGCTTTTTAAATTATTTTATTAAGATGAAGGATTACATTGTTAAAACAACGAGGACTCTGCTAGCTTAGTGAAATAGCCGAAACATTCTCTATAGTTTACGTAACGGTTTTCAGGTTGTTTATTTATTTGATTGTATGAAAACACGGGAGCCGTGGACGAATATGCCACAAAGCTAGAATAAATTCAAAGAAACAAAACTCGGATATCACACCGAAAGGGGAAAAAGTTTCCTCTGAATGGAGGCTGTTTTCGAAAATGAATTTTACTTCTTATCATTCTTCATGTTATCGAATAGAAACCAGAACTAGCAAGAACTCAGACGAGTTGCGAGCGATTGAGAAAGCTTATGTGGCTGTAACTTGTAACTTACAGTGTGTAATTATGTCGATAATTAGAGTTTCCACCGAAAAACACTCAACAAATTGTTTCTCCTCGTAATCTTGACATGAAGCGGTGTCAGATCCTGTAGCAAAATATTGCAAAAACGGCTGAAACGCCGACATATTCTTCCGAGTGCTCAAGAAACGGAGAAAGAATCTCCTCTAGGCTAACGCGTGAAAAACCATGGTAACGGTTGATTGACGTCCACCAAAACGCAGGTTTGAACCGAAGAAAAAACCCTTTGAGGGCGCGTGTTAGTGGTAACCGCTGTAAAACAACACGGATACAGAAACATTTTCCGCTTTCCGTTTTCGTCTTTATTGACTCTTTAGTTGTCTCTGCTTCACAAGACGCGGGTGGCCATACGCTTTCCCGCCAAAATAACCTGACATTTGGCATCGGCTTACATGTAGTGGGTGTACGGCCGGTCGTTAGTTGTCTCCGCTTCTGCGACTGTTGTACATATTAATTAAGGGAAGGCATACGGAAGGCAAGGGAAGGCACCTACGGGGTTAAGTTTGCTGAAACATGACTACTTTCTAACATGAAACATGACTACTTTCTAAATGAGAAAATATTAAAAAAATGAAGCAAGGCTGATTTTGCAGTCGGGAATATATATATATTTTTACCAATATTTCGGAGGGCTAAAAATAGAGTAAATAAATAACAGCAAATAGAAGAAATAAAGACTGTATTACATTTCATCTTTCTTATTCATACCAAACGGTTCAAGAATACAGTCTTTATTTCTTCTATTTGTTATCAGTTATTTATTCTATTTTTAAATTTCTAATTTCTTTCCAATCACTACTTCAACGACGGTTTTCAACGTCCACTTTTTCTCATTTAAATTTTCACACGTTATTATAGTATCATATTGTACGCTATTCTTTATTTCAAATTGTAACGTCTTAGCTTAACCTCTTCATTCAGTATGTAAGACCCTGAAGACGCCAGATGCCGTGCAAAAATATCACCGCTTGCGGCTCCTCGTGAGGAAGGCCGTGCCTTCCGAAATATTGGTAAATATATATATATTCCCGACTGTAAAATCATCCTTGCTTCTTTTGTTTTACATTTTCACTTATTGCTGAGTAGATCCTTCATTAGGATCCAGTCCTTCATTTTTGTAAGCTGTTCCTTGCTTCACAATTAAATTCAAGCAAATGAGGCCTGGGCACTGTACAAATCCAACCTCGTCCCTAGGGAAAATCCCTGGGGACGAGGTTGTGTACAAATCAAATCCATCCCGGGTCCCCTGCTGGGGTGGCCGGGCATAGATTTCCCAAAGTTAGCCTCCCCAGTTGGAAATACATTTGCTCGAAAGCTATTGTTAACTTGAGCCAATCTTAGTCGGTAGAGCGCTTGACTCTACTGAGAGAGAAGCTCGAGGTTTGGGTTCGATTTCCGATTGGATACTCGGGGTCTAAAAAAACGCTGAGCAGGCCTGAGACTACTCAGAGTTTTTGATAAATCAACCCTTTGCCATAGTGCCAGCCCTGCATTCAGTTTTGTTTTAAGGTACTCCCTTTGCACCGGGTGCAAGCTACTAGACCTTCGCGTGGCTCGGATGATAACGCAAACTGGCTGTCCCGTCTCAAGTCGGAGACATAAAACTAGTGCCCCCAATTAGTACTTTCGTGCCAAATACATTGACGCTCCAATAAAATTTAAAAGATCATTTTTTTAAAAAATGCGAGTTGCCAGGACGTGAAAA